ATCATAATTGATATCAGCCTAATATAATCGACTGGAATCAGCTTTTTAGACGTTCGCTAGCTTTTGTATGAAGAATAGACAATACGTCATTATATTACTTTATGATATGGCATTGCTATTTCCCATGGAAAAATAATTCAAAAAAAGAACGGATGAGAACGCGTTTTCGCCACAGAAGACTGCGTTGTGAAGACGCTTTTTTCGACCTTTTTGAACGTGATTTATTTATAAAAAACGCGTTTTCTTCAGAATAAAAAGGACGTTCTGATGTCGCGAAAACGGTATGTTACGAAGACAGTTCTTATATACTAAAACGTGTTTAGGATGAACGCATAGAAACATTCTAAGAACACGTTATCCAAGAACGCTAAGCGTGCTTTTTAGAACGGGTTTTTGAAGAACGTGCTTTTTCCAATAAAAACGCATTGTTCTTTTGAAGGATAAAAAAAGTTTATCCTGATACTTATTCAGTCTTGAAACGCGTTCCTTTTCTCATCCAATTCCATTCTCAGATAACTTGTTTCGGTCCACTTGAAGCTGCGTTTCTTGGCGAGCGTGTTCTTGATTAGTTGAGTCGCAGTTTCCAGGAACGCGTTCTAAATATTCTTGCGCTTTCTGTGAGATAGATTTGACCACACGACGTTGTAATTGTGAAGCAGTGAACATTCCAATAGACCAAACTTACGTATATATATAACTTGTTAAAATCCCTATTTATACTAAATCAACGTTATATGTAAACTTAGTAGTCACAATTCGTATTAATCGTAGGTGTAGATAATTTATTATAGATTTAAATGTAGTACAATTAGTAAATTTGAAAGAAGCAACTTTTTATCAACTTGTTAAAAATTCTATAATTAAAATTGTAATCATTCGGATTATTCATATGAATATTTTTCAAAACACCATCAAACTTCGAAATGAGATTTAGTTACTACAAAATTTTTAATTAATATTCCTAGATAGATGTGCTAAGTATAACATGAGATTCTTCACATGTTCACGGAGCCTGTAAATAGTTATAGAGGTATTGTTTTGTAATAAAATGGTCATTCTAATTAGAATTGAATCATAATAGTGTAGTTATAAACATAGAGATTTAAAGCAAGTTGAATCAAGCGTCTCGCAGATATTCTAAATTTAGTTTTGAGTTGAAGCTAAATTCTTAAATATTGATTTATATTTCGAACTCTAATAATGCAGCACATGAATAATAGATTAATACCTAGTTTTTGAATATTACTTGATTTCAGTCTGTAAATATATATGTTGTTCGAAAAATGTTTTTAAATTGAAATAACAATTTGCTTATGCCTTATTAAACTTTTTTGAAGATGATCAAATAGAAATTACAGCATGGCAGAAAGAGATTTAACAGTAAAAAATAAATATGAAAATCCTGGCATCGTTTACATTTAGCTTGATGTTAAAATAAAATAAATATTTTTTACCGCAATAAAAAAATGATCCAATGTTGTTTTCATAGGATTAGTCACTTTGAGAAAGTGTTGAATCGCAACGGATAACATATTTTCTTTTCACCTTTATAAACTGCCATCTATATATAAAATTCACGAAGTCAAAGAAATTATATATCCAATTCAATAGAGTATTAGTTATTTCTTTATCTCAATGGCCTATATGTACGAAGTCGACGAGCTGACAATTCTTTTTGTTTAGAATGGTAGAATTCTCATATATAACGATTCGACGGAGAATAAATATCCATGTCTTTGCTTGAATGCACTTACATTTAGCCATTCATTTCAACTTCGTTTAATCTAACCATTGTTATATCATCTTTATTTTCAGATACGATGTCATTGATGTCAACATCGCACAACCACGGTACTAGATTTGCTGTTCGACAAGCTTCTCAACAAAATTTGTTTGATTTACCACAACAATCACCATCGACGTCATTTGAAACATCATCAGTTATTGTCTCATCGCCATCTAAATCGAAAACCGTAATGAATACAACTGTGTCGTCCCGACAACCCAAAATTTGTGCTAACAATTTATCGAAAAAGAAATTCATATCGAATAAATTCAAATCCACAGTAATAACATCTATATCAATCGATGAACCGCTGCAATTATCATTGGTAACAACAGATCATGCATCTTCACCAGGAACAAATACAGCTACATCAATGTCAGCAACTAGCACACCGACTAGTTTAACATCATTTCGAAATAATCCCGTGGTTCAAGTTCTGTCAATGACTGATGATGTTGGTCTGAAAGATGTATCAAATAGTGCAACAAGAGCAAGCTCGATTAACGTAAATCAATTAGTTCTAGACTTCCAAATTAAATTGAAAGCAAAAGATGAAGTAATCAAAGATTTGAAGAAAAAACTAATCGATCGTAATCAAAAAATTGCTGATATAGAGCAGTCAACAATGAGTAAATTTTACAGCTTTCATTTATATTGTTTTTCAAGTTTGTATTTTTTCATTTTAGTTATTCCGACGGCGCCACTTGTTATTGATTGGATCGATCATCTACATGAATTGATACATAAAGAAGAAATTCAAAGTGACATAGATTATAAACACTATGCCACTCAGTTGAATATGAATGAAGAAAGATTAAAAAATTGTATAAATGAAAAAGATAGAATAAAAACGGCCCGTACGATCAGTAAGAAAAATTCTATACATGATTACAAGTTGAAATTTGTTCTTTATCTACGATAGTTCGAAATTTTTCTGATTATGAAGAATTAATTGTTATGGATAACGGTTGGCAAACACTTGATAAAGAAAAAGTTAACGTCGTTTTAGGTAAAGGTTAAATAATATTAATTTTTTAATGGAAATTTATTCTTTAGAGCTTATTCGAAACATATTTGGACCATCGATTTCAATAACAGATAGTACTATACGTGTATCACTAGCAACTATGATTCGTACAGCTTGTTGGAAAGCTCGAAATTAAACTATTGATAGTAATTTCGGCAACAACACACCACAATCGGTTATAACGCATGTAGCTTTAAATGAAAATAATCAAGAACATTAATAACAATTTGACTGCTATTCTTTATTTTTTTGTGCATGTTGTTGTCGAGTTTTCCATTGCATATGTGTTCAGTATTTTTTTTTTCGTTTGAATTGTATTTGTCAAGATAATCAATTATCTATGATAATTTCTTGTTTTTTTGAACTATTGATAGTTGAAATGAGAATTACTTGTATTCTAGTTGCTTTTTTTCTGGTATACACCAGAACAGCCCTTTTTTTTCGTCTTTTTGCTCATGTTTATTTTACGAATTGTGTACAAACTATAAACTTTGTTTGCTTTATTATTATTTTTAATATGCTTTATTATTATTTGAAAAATATATATTGTCTATTAATGCACGAATAAACGAGTATACTTAAGAAGTATATTTGTTGAAGTGTAGGCTGAAAATTTCAAAGGAAAGATGAGCATTTATATATATACTTGCATTGTTTTAGCTCAATGCCTAAAAAAATCAATAACCTCCATGGTATTTACAAAAGGACAAATCTTTCGAAACTGCTGAAATCAGGAAGAAATTTTCGATATCGTGATAGTCATCGATCATCAAGAATCAATTCATTGTAAATAAATTTTTGTAGTTTATTGAACAAATATTGTTTATTTCATATTAGACTAAATACATCTCAACAGTCACCATCAACACAAAATCAATCCGACCCATTAATATCATCTCAATATTTATTCATGAACATCGATGAAGAAGAACAAGATAATACTGGTGAAGTAGCTGAACAATCTTCAACAAAAAAGATTAAACTTATTCATGAATTACAACAAGTAGATGAAAATAAATTGAATGAATCATTAATAGATGCAGATCAGATTGTTAATGTCGAAGATGGTCATGATGATAATAATGAGGATGATAATGATTATGTTGATGATGATGTTGATGGATTTGAAGATGATTCTGATAAAAATAAGGATGATAATAATGATTATGTTGATAATGATGTGGATCGATTTGAAGACAATTTTGATGACGATTTTGATGACGAGCTTGATAGAAATGTTTTGAAAGATGAAGATAGTCTCGTAGATCAAATCAGCGTGAACGCTGAGTAAGTGCTTAAAGTCACTTTTATTTCATTATTGACATTAAATTTTCTTTTAGATATTTCGAAAAAACGTTTTCTACTCGTGATATTGCTGTTATTTTATGCTTGATCAAACGACGACATAAATGCTCAAATGAATTGATTATTGATGTTATTAGTTTATTGAATAAAACTGTTTCGAATAATTCACTGATACCAAAATCTATTTATGATATTCGAAGATTATTAAACATCAATTCAGATCAAACGAAAGGAAGTAAAAACCAAGTAAAAACTGTTACTATATGTCAAATATGTGAAACAGTTCAAATGTCAAATAAGAAATGCTTGAATGAATCGTGCAACGTTCGAGAAAATTATTTACGATTACCTTATATTTATACTTGGTTCAGTATTCGACAGCAGCTCGAAGAAATACTTCAGAGAGAGAAAAATATGATATCTGCACCAAGTTCAGATACAATCATGAGATCAGCGATATTAAAAAATATTATCGATGGTCGTTTATATAAACATGTAATACGTAATGAATCACCATATGTCTCGTGCCATATAAAATTTTAAATTGATTCACATGATATTGAAGTAATACGTGCATCTCGTCTAATTTATCATTGTCCAGTAAGAGCATGTACACCTAGAATATAATGTTTCATTTAAGATCATCTTTTATTTTCAGCTGATGGTGTTCAACTTGCATCTAATTCAGCCAAATCATTATGGTTAGTTACTATGACAATAAATGAAATTGATACTAAACATAGGTTTTTCTTAAATAATTTAATAATTTGTGGTGTTAATTCATGTTACAAGAAACCAACACGAAAGATTATGAATTTAATGATCGAACCAATCGTACAACAATTGGAAATTTTGGAACAAGGAGGGGTTTGTGAAATTGCTGGTAAAATTAGTATGTACAAAGCTTTTTTACTCGGTTCCATCAACGACAAACCAGCCAATTCGTTATTACAAAATATTCCTGAGCCGAATGCCGCGTTTGGCTGTTCGAAATGCGAACTTCAAGTATTTATTCTTGATTATGTTAATTTTATATCATGATGACTTGTTCCTTTTTGTGTAGGGTATAACAGTACGATCTAATACAGTTTTAGTAGCAAAAACAAAACAAGCAAAACATATTACGAATAATAAAAAACTAACTAACTGTATTAGAGTATTTCCAACTTCTTTCAAATGTACTTCAGTTCGTTTACGTTCAAGTGAAAATTATAAAAAAACTTTACATGAACTTGATACACAAAGATTGAAAAATCCAAATTTATCCAACGAACAATTATACACATTGAAGAAAGGTTATCTAGGACCCTGTAGTTTAACGCGTTTACGTTATTTCGATCATGGACAAAGTTTTCTTTCTGATACTTTACACACTGTCTATGGAGGCGCGATGGTATATGATGCATTTTTTTTTCTTGTTGCATATTTTCTATCTTATTTTTAGAAACGCTTGCTAAGAATTTTCTTTGAAAACAAATTTCGTACAGAAGAAAAAAGTTGGACCATTCAATCGAATATGGAGAAGATAAATCAACGACTTCAACAATATATAACACCTTCATCAACTGTTCGTCTTCCGAGAAATATCAATTTGTATCATCGTTATAAAGCTAGTGAATTTCGTTCAATTTTATTGGTTTACTACATGATCTTCAAGGATATCCTACCCGAACGTTATTATACACATTTGAAACAATTAGTTTTTGCCATGCATATTGGAGAGAATAGACAAATACCTCAAGATAAATTAGACGAGATGCACGTATTACTTCAATATCATGTGAATCAATTTAAAATTTTATATGGCACGAGACATATGGTGAATAACATTCATTCGTTAATTCATTTAGCAGAAACCGTTCGGGACTATGGTCCACTTCAGGGATATTCAACTTTCAATTACGAGTCCATATTAGGTAATAAATATCGACTTGAAATCTTAAAAAATAAGCATCTGTCTCTTTTTGCTTTTTTATAGGTGGTATTACTTCAACTGTTAACGGAACGAAGAATCAAGAGAAAGAAATATACAACAATCTGCAAATGCTAAAAGAATCGAGCTACTTGGCAACAATTAGCCAAAATTCCATTTTATACGAGTTAATGATTAAATTTTTAGGCATCAAATATTACGTGGAAAAGCAAAAAGATAATTTTTTAATATTAAAAAAACGAATCAACGAAACTACTAATGAAATAACAGCTTGTCATGTTGATGAATCAGAAAATGTTCCTATTACCTTATTCAATCGCTGTATATATAAGAATGTTCAATATGATTCTTACAATATTAATAAAAAAAAAGATTGTGCAATACTTTACAATGATATTGAAAACAATAAATTACAGTACGCGCTTATTGACAAGTTCATACAATACAAAAATGCAGACAATTCTATATTGTTTCAAGTCAATGATGTAATCAATTGGCATTACGATTTTCTTTTTATTGGAACCATGAAATTTGAATGTGAAAATGTCTCAATAGGTGAATTAAGTAAATGCACAAAACTTATTCATCCTTCAACTGTAGTCGAAAAGGTATTTTCACTTGTTAATGCTAATGAAGTTACTGTTATTCGATTGCCAAATCTAACTGAAAGTAGCTAATTTAATTTGTTTGTTGTACATGTTAGTTTCATATTTCTATTACATAAATATGTTGAAATTCATGAAATAAATACTTCATTTAAAGCTCTATAATTATAATTTTATGAAATAAAAATGGATATGAAATTAGAGAATTTGTTTGATAAAAAATGCTTAAAAAAAACGAAAATCATCTAATACGAAGCTCGAGATAAATGGTCACTTTGCCAAATAAGACTATCTTCAGGTGCATTACAACAGAAAGAAATCTTCTTATACTAAAACATATATTTCTTAATTGTCATAGCACTTTCATTACATGCATTCCGATATATGTCAAGTAATGAATTCCATTAAGCTATGACCATTTTCCCATTACATAAAAGAACGCGTTCTGAAGGTTGACGAACAAGTTCTTCAGTATAAGTTTTCATGCGTTTTTCAGAAACGGATTTTCCAACTATAAGAACAAATTAATCGTGAACTAGTTCAAACGCATATCAGTTGAACGCGCTCGTACGATAAGCAGCACGTTCACTATTAATTTGTTCATTTTAATAAAAACGCGCTGCTTGCCAACAAGTATGCGTTCGAACACGTTCAAAATTTTGACGAACGCGTCTGCACGCGTCCATTTGTTTTTAGAACGCATTTTTAGTCGATAAATACGTTCAATTTTTTTGACAACGCGTTCTTTTACGTTCATATTGATGAATATTTTCCCATGGGTTTACAATTTATTTTAATACTTCAAGTGCATAAATCATGTTATCACTTTAAATCTACACTCATTCAAGTATTGATAGTTTAAAAATCTTTACAATACTTCAAAAAAGAATGAATAACTATTACATCAACACG